CTCTGGGTCCTCTGGCTGCCACAAGTCCTTCCTGACAGATACTATGCAGCTGTTAGGTCACCCAGCAGACCAAAAAAACAACACAAGAGAGCGCAAAAAAGGTCTTCCTACTGCCCGGGAATGAAGGACAGATTCAGCTCCAGAAAGAGTGAAGACCTCCATAAACTGAATCTTCCAGGCAGAAGGCAGAAACTGACATCACTTTATCAAGAAATTTAAAGCAAAGTCAAAAGGATAACCTGATTTTGAAGATGGCAATGTACTAATGGGGCCGTCCACAACAACCTGGAGTTCTCCAGGTGACTGCTGTAATAGCCGCGAGGCATGCTGCCTTCAAGGGCAAGGAGGACCCAGTGGTTTCAAGGGAAGACCCATGAAGACACCTGAGAGTTGGTCCCCTTCTGGAGTGCACAGTGGGCTACAATTGCGGTTATTAGAAAAACTGGCAGGATAGAGAGTGGGGAGCTGCTAGCTAAAGCAAAGCTCTGCGTCCTGATATTCCAAAGATACATTCAATTAGCTAAGATTAAAATATTAGCCAGAAACGAGCAGGAAGCATGCTACAGTGAGGTGCTGGTTCACCTAGAATATGCTTTGAATGTTTTTTTCCATTCAGAAGAATTGCTTGGGCCAGAGATGAACTGCAGTCCATCTGTTGTAGAAAACCATTCGTTATTCATCATGTTTTATGGTGGATCCAAAAAGGGACGGAGCATATAGGACTGTCGTAGCTCACAGGACCGCAGGTCTGCAAGAGGCAGTCTTTAATGCCTCTAACAAATAGATAAAAGAGGTCCTGAAACCATAGCGATGGCAAATGCAGCATTGCCAGTTCCTTCTCCACTCTTAAAAGAGAACCTGCGAAAACAGTAGGATTGGGAAAAAGCCTGCACAGACGGACTTCTGACCATGGGAAGATAAGCATATGCAGGAAGCATATGCCCAGGCCCCGGGGCACACCTGCTTTACAAGCTGGTCTCCTCCCAGCCCCTCCCAAGTCAGGACTCAGCTTCTCCTGGATGTGGACACTTACACAGGCAGTGAGACAATCTGCTGCAGAGAAGAAAGACGTGGGGAGGCAGAAAACATCGCAGGCTGCTATGCTCACATGGGCAGTGGGTCAATGATTAGGAGTGAATCCCATGCTAGCTTTCATTTAAGGTGAGGTGGGAAAAGACTGGAAAAAAAAAGCGCCAGCATGCTTAGCAAACACCAACCATGAACTTGATCATGATGACTAACCAGCTAAGATAGCAAACCAAGCTTTTTACAAATAAAGACATGCAAACAGAACTCTTTACTGAATGACTGGCAAGGTCGATGCCAAGCTCGACATCCCTGACTTAACTCGTGAATAAGCATTCAGTTTGAAGGAGTTGATGGCAAAGCAGTCACCTCCTCTTCCACTTGGAAACTAGGAGGTAATTGCTGTCACACCCCTAGTAGTGCTTTTTTAGTCTCTCTGAGCAGAAAAGAGAGCATAAACCAAGTAGTAAAAAAGCCCCAAACAACCAACCTGGCAAAGTAACACATGCTGGGATGAAGCTTCTCCTGCTGGCAGGATAATTTGCTTTCACAGCTCTTATGAAATAATCTGATATCCACTTAGCAAAAATGAGATGCTGGACTGGAAGGCCCACCGGTCCAATCCACACTGCCAGTGTCACGGCTTCCATGCACAGAACCCCAGACTCTCTTGAACTTTAGAGTGCTGAGATCAAGAAACGCTATTTACAGCTAAGCCATGCACACAACTGGCAAGCAGAGTGAAATGCACACACAATAGTCAAACACATGCTTAAGGCAGCGCGTTTGCTCTACCCCTCAGGAATGTGTTTCAACTTTCACCTGGAGAATCAGCCAAAATCTTCAGAAAGAGCCAAAATTTCATAAACTTGCATTTGAAAAAGGAATACTAAGATCCTTTTAGACTTCAACTACACAGAGTAACTTACAAACGGAGTAGAAGAAACACAGAGCGGTATTAATTGTTCTCAGAAATGGATCTTTCTGTAGTCTATTTATTTTCCTGTGTTTATGTCCAAAATCCTAATCTCATTTTAACATAGTAAGCAGCGAGGTGGATTTGCTAAGAAGATTACTCTATGTGAGAAAATAAGAAGTTAAGGTGTCTGCTGGCTAAGGAGCAAAGATCTTTAGAGAGCTGCTTTGAAACGTAGTTTTTAAGGCATGCATTTTTTTGCTATATACTTCTTAGTGGCAGCTGGACTAAACAGCAAAGCCGAAGGGGTTTCCTTTCAGATTCAAAACAATCCTAGGCTTCAGTTGCAGCCTTAAAAATGCACACCCAGAAGAGGGATTTATTTTCATCTTTAACAGAAACGCAGTCACTAGAAAGGAAGCAAATGGTGTCAAAAAAGCAACATTTGGGGTGTGAGAAACCAGGCGAGCTTCTCAAGTGCGAGCTACAATGTGTGCTGACAGCTTGAGCAACGCGGGCGCAAGCTGAGTCACTGCTGTGCCATTCACAGCAGCTCGTTCCTTCATCCGTGATTTTGTAGAAAAGCATAAGAAAATTCCAAAACCATAATTTCATTCTTTTTAGTTACAGGGAAAGCATCAAGCAATCACTACGTGACGGTGGTTCAAGAATAACTGTAGCATCATACTTAATCCTGCAAGAACTCCATAATGTACAAATCAAAGTTAAAAAAAAAAAAAAAGAGGAAAGTATTTATTTTATTTTACCGGTAGTCTTAGAATTTAGCTTGTAACCAGCTTTTAAGCATTTCAGGATTCATAAGCATATGGCAGAGAAGGAACTGGGTGCAAGCTCCTGTAAAGTTAAGACCAGATGATATTATGGCTGCACGTTACAGTATTTTAGACAAAATCAAAGTTGTTAGGATGAAACCTCTGTAGTATTTATTGTAAGCTGATATGATTAATCAGTAAGATTTTTGTAGATGTCGTAACAAGCTTTGCTTGTATTTTTTCACCTGTTCTTGCAGCATCGAGACTTCAAGGTTCTGAAGTACAAGTGCAGAATATATTTGTTCTTTTTGGTGGCAGAAGTATACAAACTGTAATTCTCCATTCTGACAGAAAAAAAAACCCAAAAGATGAAAAACCTAACTAGAGTTTTGCTGCGGGACATTTTTTTGGCATCGATTTATTCCTACTGTCTAGCCTTTTCATGATCCATTTACATAAAAACTGATGTAGTATTTTGACAAAATGGAGATACTTAACCTAAACTCCAGCAGCACATGGTGAGGAGCCAGCTGAGTAGTCTAGTCTTGAACAAGGAACCTTGTCCAGAATTTGGGCTCCCCAGAACAAGAATTGACATTCTGGACTGAGGGCAGCAGAAGGTTGCTGAGGTGATTAAGGAGCTGGAGTTCACGATGGGAAAGGCTGAGAGCGCTGGCTTTGTTCACGTCTTAAGAGGCTTTGGGAGGACCTTACTGCTGTCTTCACCTACCTAATGGGAGGGTGTAGAGAAGACAGAGCCAGACACTTCTTGGAGGTGCAGCGGCAGGACAAGAGGCAGTGGACACAAACTGGAACATGAGAAATTCCAATCAAATACAGGAAACATTTTTTTTCACTGTGAATATGGTCAAACACTGGAACTGGTGGCCTAGAGAGGTTGTGGATCCGCATCTCTGGAAGTGTTCAAAACTGAACCAGACAACAGTGGCACGATCTAGGCGCACCCACTTTGAGGAAGGTGATAGACCAGATGGCCTCTGGAAGACCTACCTTAAATTATTCTATCATTCTACATATTGGGCTTTTAAGCCAGTGACTCTCTCTGGGCAGTCTCAGAAGCCAAGCATGTACAAAGATCTTTTGTTTTGCTTTCAAATTCACCTGCTAATTCCTTAATTTTTACATTTTTCATTTGCTAAAACATAAAATATCAATGTAAATCACAATTATGACATTTTAAAACCGAAGTGATGATTGAGCACGTTGCTTTAAGTACCAGCGGCGTTTTATCTGGATTTCAACACGCTAGTAGATTATGTGAGATGTCACCAGTAGCCAAACTTGAAAATGCGAAGCATGTATTCTGGCACGGCATTTTATTAAGATGTCAAATCTTTTGTGTTAGCAGTCAGTCATTGAAACAATCTGAACACGTCTAATCTAGTCAGCAAAAATAGCTGTGCAACTTCGATGCGATATGCCCCATTTATATAGCTCATTATGCTCTGAAATGATTCTATTCATTGTTCAAGTCCCCACAAAAACAATTACCAGCTTTTACATATATTAAAAGTAACATTACATTCTGCTCTCAAAAGTACAAAAAATAACACTTTAAATATACACTGGCTCCTAAGCTTAGACTGAGCCCTGCCAGGAAGAGAATTTTGCGCTTCAGTAGACAGTGCCTTCAACATCAAGAGCTCTTCAAAGTGCTTGGCGGAGCGTGTGAACGCGATCCCCACTGACTAGATGACGAAACTAAGGCACAGAGGTCAACTCCCTTGCCCACAGTCACACAGAGAGTGAGTAGTAGAACCAGCAGAGCAGAATTCGGCCTTTTCAGTTGCCCAGTGTAACCACCGCATCTCACTGCCACTAGTCAAGTGCAATGGCTTCAGCATTTCCGAGGAGTAAAACTTGTCCAGCATACAGCGATCAGAAGGGGCAATCCAAGGCCAGTCAGAGGCTGCAACAATTTCAAACCGAACCAAACGAATCTGGCAGTCAACAAATCAAAATGCACTTAAAGGAACGATCACATAGAAAATTACACATTAACCTGCAGAGAGAAAGCTCAGTAAACGTAAGACATACGGTGTCAGCTTTGCACGAAGTACTGGTTATCTTAAGCTTGACAGTAGTTCAGGTAATGTTGACTTCATCAGAGAAGTCGTACTTTCTGATCAGCAAACATCTTAAATACTGTTGTTCTATCAGCAAGGTACGCTCCTCTGGGGAGTCACACAGAAACACAAGTAAGGGGCCAAATATCTCCTCAGTAGGCATGGATGTGCATGAGGCACAAAAAAACACATTAATTGCTTGTGAGGTATGGACTAAGTGGTAGAGAATTACCAATCTGGAAAAATTTTAGAAGTCTAAAATAAATAAAGTTAAGAAAACTGAAAGCCACCCACCAAAAATCACCAAGAAATGCATCTTCAAATAGATTATGCTGCAACAAGAAAGCGTGATACATGTAATCACTGCCTGGATGAGAAGCATGCTATAGCCTAGCCCTTTGATGACAAATAAGCATTTCAGAAAGCCTGTCCCTGAATAGGATGCTCATGAGATGACTCATTTACTGACAGAGACTGCTGATGAGATTCAGAAACATGTACACTTCCATTCTGTTCTTCACTGATTTGATGGGAAGGAACCGTATCTTGGCTAGAGTGAGACTGTTGACTTGATTCCTGAGTCAGCTGCACGTGCTGAGCTGGATGAGAAGATCCTGCTAAGTGGATTTCTTCACTTTGTCCTTGATGAGCATGGAGATGTTCCAGTGCTTCCTTGGAATGAGTGATGACATGCATTTGTTCAGGTTGGGCAGTCTCTATTTGGTTTGCAATCATATTGATGCTTGGGATTTGTTCCGCTTGCTCCTGCTGAGCTGAAAGCAACAAGTTCTGCAACTGCTGTGGCGGCTGAGCAAGCAGCGTGAGGTTAGCAGCCTGCTCCGTTGCCATGTTTGGGGCATTTTCTGCAGTAACAATACTAATGCCCTGACTGTGACCAGGCACGAAGTTTATATTATGTACTGCATCTGTAACCAGCAGCTGAATTTCCTGCCCTCCAGAGGTGGCAAGCTGATACTGCTGCAGCTGAAGAATGTTTCTCACTTCTTCTGAGTTAGTGTTGGTGCCTGGAGCAGCGCTGGCTTCCTGAAACTGCTTTTCCTTGCTATGAATTTTCAAATGAGACTTCAGGTTGTCCAGGCGAGCAAACTGCAAACTACATTCTGGGCAGGAGAAAGGCTTTTTGCCTGTGTGTAAGATACAGTGTCTTCTCTTAGCACTGGAATCAGAGAAGGATTTTCCGCATGTACCACAAGAATATGGCTTTTCTCCTCTGCAAAAGAATGTATTTGACCTCATTAAAATATTCATTTTGACAGTGCTGCTTTCTCCAACTTATTATAGAATAAAAAATGTAATTATTTTGTTTTGCTAAATTATAAGCACTTAAGAACAGTGACATGAAAAATGTTCTCTATTTGACTTCCTAATTATTTCTAATTGACTTCACAAACTGTGCTTTAATTAGTCTATACCCAAGAGCTACAGAGGTAACACAACTGCCCTCCTGTCATAATACCAGAGGTACAAATTCTATGCTGCTAGACCTTGACAAGAATGCAAGAACTTACTTGGCACAACTGTAAGCACTGACCATTTAAAGAACATTTATTAACAGTGTGGGCTTTAAAACAAGAAGTGGTGTCCAAATCCTGACTTCCTCCCCTACACAAAGGGACGAGAAATTTTACTGGAAACATTTTCTTTCACATAAGGCCCACAACAGTTCTCCAATGACTTAAAAATCTTACATGGCTTAATGTAATAAATCACACTGACATGGGCAAAAGAGAATTAATGCTATGAAAGAGACGTGATAGACTACACGGAAACAGGACAATGCTCCAATAACCTCGTTACACCATGGCTACTGTTCTGCTGTCAAGTAAGAAGTCACAGTAAAGCTTTCATACAAATAATACAGCAGTAAGTACACTGTCATTGAACAGACACAATACAGAAAAGAAGAACCTCACCATGTCTTGGCACGCTAGTATTTAACAGTGCAGTACTTTCCACTACCAATTAATTCTTTAAATAGATTAAACAAGAATGCCAATCTTTAACCAACCATTCCAAATGCAAACAAGCCCTGAACATTCTATAATTGAACGAGCACTACATACAGGCATCAGATTAGAAGTTTCATTTTTAAAGAGTGTAACGAAAATCAGACATACTCTACCTGTGAATTCTAATGTGAGTCTGAAGAGAACTTTTAGCTGTAAATGATTTGCCACAAATTTCACAAGTGAAGGGCTTCTCACCTATCAAAAAGAAATTTGACATCATTTTTTATATAGCACTTCCTGTCAACATATTAAAAAACATTTCACATTTTACCACACACAGTACCAAGTGTGTACTGTCAAATCCTCGCACTTCTGCCATGGGTCAGGACAGATACCTGAAATTGAACGTACTCACCAGTTCAATGAGGGTATAGTAGTTTAAACGTACATCTCTGACATTTCTCCCCTTGAAGCTGAAGAATTAGGTGATCCAAGCCTCAGAGCAACAAAACACGTAACTATGATACAGATGTGGGTGTTCCACATGGAAGAGACAAATTTGAAAAAGGCTGACCCTGAACTAGTAGGCATTAATGCTAGGCTCACGTGCAGCACCATGCAGATGAGTAAGTAATTTGGATGTATTTCCAAATCTGAAAAGTGAATCCGTTATTTTAACAAGTCAGCTGGCTTCCTATAAAGCTCCCTCCTAGGCCTACAGTATCCTAGTAACACCGGTGGAAGAAAAATTCAATTATAGTGGGTTGAATACATTGTGGGTTTGGTGGTATTTTTTCTTACTGCACTTGGAATTCTTGTGTCTAATTAAGCAGAAGCAGAGGAGCCAAATTAAATAACAAAAAGGTTCAGAAGAAACAGATTCTACCCAAGAAAAGTGAATCCTAATTCAAATAGCTTTGGAGGGCAGGAGCAAAGTATGAGAGAACAAGAAACATCTGTCAGAAGGAAGCTCTCGCCATCTAGTCCCAGCCTCCTACTGAAAACAGGAGTGACTTCCTAAGTAGACCATATTTTTATGACATTTATTCTGCCAAAGCAGAACAGTTGCACCGATATTAACATCTGTCCCCAAACTCCTTAGAATTTTAATTTTTGCTTTTGAGATGTGTCCCGGTTTTGGCTGGGACAGTTAGTTTTTCTTTCCAGCAGCTAGAAGAGCTCCGTGTTTTGGATTTAGTATGGGATTTGTTAGCAGAGGAATGCTGATGTTGATAACACACTGATGTTTATAGTTGGTGCTAAGACCAAGGACTTTTCAGCTTCCCGTGTTTTGTCAGTATGCAGGAGCACAACAGGCTGCGGGGCGGGGCGCATAGCCAGAGCAACCGATCCAAATTGGCCAATGGGATATTCCACACCACGCAACATCCTGCTCAACACAGAAATGACGGGTGGCCAGAAAGTGCGCTCGCTCTCTCTCTCTCTCTTCCAGGACTGTGGTTTTGGGATCTGTTTGGGGATTGCTAGCCAGGGACGGGCCAGGCGTTGGTCAGCAGGTGGTGAGCAACTGTGCTGTGCATCACTCGTTTGTATATATGATTATAATTTTTATTATTCTTTTCATCATTCTTACTTTCCATTTTACTTTATTTCAATTATTAAACTGTTCTTATCTCAACCCACGAGCCTCCTTCCCTCTCTCCCTTCAATTCCCTCCCCCATTACCCAGGGGCAGGGAAGGGTGAGGAAGCAGCTGCATGGTTATGTTAAGCCACGACAGACCTTTTCTGGTGCCCAACGTGGGGCTCGAAGGGTTGTGATAACGACAGATTTGACCCGAGTGTGTCGAAACAAATTTGCTACAAGCATTCACAATGTTTTCTTGCATGTTGCTGGTGGGAATATTGTTTTGTTTGCTCTCAGAGTTGTTCTCAGAGCTGTTATCACATAGTACCTCATCTGCCCTACGCGCTGTTTGCCAGTGCGGTTACCATCTCTGGGCACTGGATTAGGGCCCGGGACACCGTTTCGCCCATTAAGGGCACGGCTGTGCTGTGCTGCGTGGTGCTGGTAAAGCGGTGGGCAGCGGGACCGACGCTGTACCCGCGGCGCGCAGCGGGGCACAGGGGCTGGGGC